CACGCGGACCACCTCGAGACCTCGCGGTGCCCTGGGGGCTCTGCGCAATTGTCGCCACTTTCGTGGGCTGCTGGGAGGCCCAGCGGAGGTGGGTCCCACGCGGACCACCTCGAGACCTCGCGGTGCCCTGGGGGCTGCGATCAGCGCAATTGTCGCCGCTTTCGTGGGCTCCTGGGAGGCCCAGCGGAGGTGGCTCCCACGCGGACCACCTCGAGACCTCGCGGTGCTCTGGGGGCTGCGATCTGCGCAATTGTCGCCACTTTCGTGGGCTCCTGGGAGGCCCAGCGGAGGTGGGTCCCACGCGGACCACCTCGAGACCTCGCGGTGCCTTGGGGGCTCTGCGCAATTGTCGCCATTTTCGTGGGCTCCTGGGAGGCCCAGCGAAGGTGGGTCCCACGCGAACCACCTCGAGACCTCGCGGTGCCCTGGGGGTTGCGATCTGCGCAATTGTCGCCGCTTTCGTGGGCTCCTGGGAGGCCCAGCGGAGGTGGGTCCCACGCTGCGATCTGCGCAATTGTCGCCGCGTTCGTGGGCTCTTGGGAGGCCCAGCGGAGGTGGGTCCCACGCGGACCACCTCGAGACCTCGCGGTGTCCTGGGGGCTGCGATCTGCGCAATTGTCGCCACTTTCGTGGGCTCCTGGGAGGCCCAGCGGAGGTGGGTCCCACGCGGACCACCTCGAGACCTCGTGGTGCCCAGGGGGCTGCGATCTGCGCAATTGTCGCCGCTTTCGTGGGCTCCTGCGAGGCCCAGCGGAGGTGGGTCCCACGCGGACCACCTCGAGACCTTGCGGTGCCTTGGGGGCTGCGATCTGCACAATTGTCGCACTTGTCGCTGGCTCTTGGGAGGCCCAGCGGAGGTGGGTCCCACGCTGATCACCTCGAGACCTCGCGGTACTTTGGGGGCTTCGATCTGCACAATTGTTGCAATTTTCTTGGGCTCTTGGGAGGCCCAGCGGAGGTGGCTCCCACGCGGATCACCTCGAGGCCTCGCGGCGCCTTGGGGGCTGCGATCTGCGCAATTGTCGCCATTGTCGTGGGTTCTTGGGAGGCCCAGCGGAGGTGGGTCCCACGCGAACCACCTCGAGATTTCGCGGTGCCCAGGGGGCTGCGATCTGCGCAATTGTCGCCACTTTCGTGGGCTCCTGGGAGGCCCAGCGGAGGTGGGTCCCACGCGGACCACCTCGAGATTTCGCGGTGCCTTGGGGGCTGCGATCTGCGCAATTGTCGCCACTTTCGTGGGTTCTTGGGAGGCCCAGCGGAGGTGGGTCCCACGCGGACCACCTCGAGATTTCGCGGTGTCTTGGGGGCTGCGATCTGCGCAATTGTCGCCACGTTCGTGGGCTCTTGGGAGGCCCAGCGGAGGTGGGTCCCACGCTGATCACCTCGAGACCTCGCGGTGCCTTGGGGGGCTCTTTAAGAGTTTTTGGGTCGGGTCTTTTCTTTAGTTGAGGGTTTTCTTGGGGCTCGGCCGTCCAGATGCTGGCTAGCCTGTCAGTTTCGTCGAAAAGCAGCTCGGACGGTCGCCCAGTCCATCTACTTTCGCTTGGTTTCCAAATTCTCTGAGGTATCCCCGCCGATAAGTCCTTGGACCACTTGTGGCCCCATCCCACCCCGCGAGTCATGCTGGTCTTTGCGCGGTCCGTCCACTTGTTGGATTCAGTGGTTATGTCACGCTGGATTTCTCGGTCGAGACCCTTGTCGGCGTCGACGAGAGTCGCGTCGAAGATTTCTCGGGCCACGGGGAAATTCAGGTTGCCGTTCGCGTAATCTAGCAGCACCGTTTGGGCCGCAGTTTTTACCACTCCCAGGAGGGCCCCCAGGCCAGCATTCTCGTAGAACGCGCTCGGGCGGGACTGGAGATCCACAGAGGCATTCTGGAAATCTAGGTTCTGGAACCGTGCTTAGCTAGGGCTCGGCGCATGTCCGTCAGCGTGTTCTTATGCCAGCGGAGAGGCCCAGCGAAAGATCTCCAACTACATTTGCGATACCCTTCGGCTTCCCGCGCTGGCACCCATTTTATCTGAGGCCCTTGGCCTCTCACTCGCTGGCTTTTCAGAGGGGGCGGCGGTGATCGTGCTGATGTGGTTCACCAAGTCCGCGGTGGGCGCCTGGTGGGTTTCGTTTAGGGCGCCTTCCAGTTCTCTGAAGTCCAACTGCTGGCCCAGGAAAGCTTCCATCTGGTCCAGGGCGGCGCTCGATTAAACCCATTCTTGCGTATGCTTCAAGGGGCCCATAGGGGTCTTGGTAGGGAGGTTCTGGGGCTTGACCAGCGCGGGAACTAGGAAAGACGACCCCGCGGCCAAGTCAAATTTCACGGGCCTGTGGGGGCTGAAGGGGGCACTGCGTGAGGACCACGGGCTCCTGCGCATAATCTTGGAAGGGCTTGGAGATTAGGAAATAGTCGATGAGGGACTTAGTCTTCTTGGTGTAGAGGGTCGGCTCCGAAGGAGCCAGTATACATGTGCCCGAACGCGCGCAATAATCGGATCGGAGGAGCTTGGGGGGGAAAGGTTGAAGTCGCCTGCGGCCACCAGCGGTAAGCGGTGCTCCTGCGCACACTGCGCGACCCGCGCGAGCAAGGCAAGGTTGGATTCGTTCAAACTTACCTTGTCTTCTAAGTAGACAGAACACAATAGAAACGGGGAGTGGCCAGGCACCACCAGAGCCACTGCAGCGACTCTCCCAGACGGCGTATTGGCCTCGAAACCGGTCTTGACAATCGCAAGATCTAACCCCTGACGTACCAGGATGGCGGTTCCTTGAATGATAGCCCCACCTTTAGAACGGACCCCCTCCAAGAACACGGCGCTCCAGCCCCGTTTGGCACACCGTGGAACAGCTTCCAGAACGTTGTTCCCTCGCAACCTGGTTTCCTGGCAGCATCTGATCTGAAACCGGCTAGGCTCAAAATCGGACTCGACGAAAATCTTGACTCGACGCTTCCCCAGCACCTGCCACGGATGGAAACAAGTCGGAGATTGCCCACCCGACGGCCTGCTCGCCTCGGCCCGCGGCGCCAGCTGGCGATGGGGGACCTTCTCCCGGCCGCGCCGGCGGCGGCGGCGCGCCGGTGCCCGCCGCCGCTGGGCCCGCGGCGCCGCGGACCTGGAGCTGGGTCGCCGAGTCGATCGCCTGCGAGATTAGGGGGCCACATGCGAACCCTACCCCTACCCCCCACGATTTCTGAGGTGGAGGGTAGGGTTCACTTCGCTCGGGAGCTCACCAATGGAGTGACCCCCACCCTCCCCCTCAGAAATCGTGGGGGGTAGGGGTAGGGTTCGCATGTGGCCCCCTAGAGATGCGCTTGACTCCCGCCTCCAAGCCCAGGGGCCCCTGGGCGTCCATGAGCTCGGTGTCGTCCGACTCCTTTCCCGCGGGGGTTTCGGTGGCCTCCTCCGCTGGCGCGGGTGGCGTGGCCGCCGCGGCTGCCGGCTGCGGGGCCTGCCCACTGGCTGCGGGGCCGCCTTGGGGGCGGCAGCAGCAGCCGAATTGTTGTACTCTGTGTTGGGCTTGGCGGCCATGGCGTCGATGGGTCATCGGTTCCACTCCACTCCTCCTGCTCTCCACTCCTCCTCCTCCTCCTCCTCCTCCTCCTCCTCCTCCTCCTCCTCCTCCTCCTCCTCCTCCTCCACCTCCTCCGAGACGCATCGAAACGAGGCACTTTTGTTTCCAGGAGCGCGGGTCTCTCCGCTACTCTCAACGCGATAATATCGATCTCCTGCTTGAGCTCGGCCGAGTAGGCCGTGCCTCCGAACTTTGACTGGGCGAAGGCCGCGCGGGTGTCGGCTGCTGGCGTCGAGGCGGCGTGCTTCGCCACCGTCGCCGTCGCCGCCACGTTGAGCTGGGTCTCCAGCCGCTGGATCTCCGTCTGGATCTCGGTGCACTCCTTGGCGGTCTCCAGGCACTTGGTCGTGAGGGATTCCACCTTCTCGATGTACCGTTCCTGCATCGCGTTGTTTTCCCGCCAGCCTCTCGCGCTGGGCTGCGAGCTGGGCGCTGAGGCTCTGCGTCTGCTGGTCTGGCGACTCGGAAGCCAGAGCCGCGGCTTTCGCCGCCCTGAGCTCCTCCTGCGCCCGCCTTGATGCAGACTTAGACGGGGCCTAACTCAGTGGCGCCTTCCGAGGCGTCTGCGGCGGGGTCCTCGAACGATGCTGAGCTGCGAGACCATCGGTCGGCTTGGCCCTCCGAGGTGGAGCGGGTGGTAGTCGGGGCTGATGTCGGAGCCGGGGAGGTTGCAAAACTGGCGCCGCATTTCCCACGATGGCAGTGCTGGAGATCTGCCCACGACCATCCCCCGCATGACGGCGTGCTGCAGACCAGGTAGTTCCTCTGGGCTCGCGACTGGCTCCTCGGCGTGCGTTCATCGCGCTCTTCGCGATCTCGGCGGCGGGCTCCTGCGGGCGGAGCGTCGCGCCCCGTGCTGCCGGCGCGGCGAGGAGGCGGGCGCCCGCGAGGACGCGGCGGCAATGGCGGCGGTTCCTTGGCCGCAGAAAAGGCTGCCGCGGCGCGCTGCTCGCCGAGGCAGCCAGGCCTGAGGAAGGGGCTGCCCTTCCGCCTCGACGTTGGGCCTCGGGAGTCGGGGCGGGGAGGAGTTCCCGTCTGGGGCCAAAATGGCCACGGGGAAGGAGGAGGAATCTGGGGAGGAGGAGGAGGAGGAGGAGGAGGAGGAGGAGGAGGAGGAGGAGGAGGAGGAGGAGGAGGAGGGGGGATGGGGCGGGGGAGGGGGAGGTCAGGAGGTCAGGAGCCTGAGGGTGCCGTCTGACTGGCACACAGCGCCTCGAGGGAGCTAAGATGAGGTCGATGGCCAGGCCGAACGACGCGACGACCGCGTCGCCGCCTGAGCGGCGACGCCGCCCGACCTGCGCGACGTGGGCTGCGCCGCTGCCGTGGAGGCCGCCGCCTAGCCTCCCTCGCCGCCGCGGCTGGGGGCTGCGGCCTGCGGCCAGCGCGACGCGCCGCCGCCGCCGCTGGGCGCGCAGAGGGACAGCGACAGGGCGCGCTCAGGCAACGCCTTCGCCCGCGTCGCTGCCCTCGCCGCCGCCGTTGTCCTGCGACGTCGCCCGCGCGCCGAGGCGGCCCTGGCCTTCGCGAGGCGCCGCCGCCACCCCAGGCCGCGGCCTGCAGCGCGCCGCCTGAGCCCAGCCCAGCGCGGGCGGCAGGCCCGCGGGCGCCGCCGGCCAGCTGCGGAGGCAGTACACCTCGCACCTCCGCATGCTGTCGATGACGCACCGCTGGCTCAGCGTGAGGCCCGAGCGATTCCTGGCGTAGGCACCGCGCAGCTTCACTCCGCGGCTCCAGGCGCGGCGGCACCACGCCTCCGCCAGCTGCCGAGCCGTGCTGCCCATCGCCCTGAGGAAACGCCGGCACCTGGGCTGGGCGAGGACCGCCTCCGCGCACTGGACGCAGTGGTCGAGCCAGTCGCTGGCCGCGCCGTCGGCGTCGAGCAGCGTCTCGATCCACCAGCGCCCCCAGCGGTCCAGGCTGCGCTCCAGGGCCAGCGGCCGCGGCGGCCGCTGCGGCAGGGCCGCCCTGGGCGGCGGTCGCGCCGCGGGGATGCCGCGCCGCCGCAGCCGCGCGGCAAAACCCGCAGGCGCCGCCCTGGGGGCCGCCCCAGCCCGGCCGCAGAGCATCTCGGCCCGCGCATGGGGCCGCCGCAGCAGTGCCTGCCTCCGCGACCCTTTGCGCGATCACCAACAGCACACCCCGTGTCGGCCAACGCCTCCCCGACCTGCGCTTTGGGAACACTGCCAGCCCCACCAGCGGCAACGCGCGCCGGGCCAGCCTCGCGCGTCGCCACGCGTCGCCGCAGCACTTCCAGCCGCTCCTGCCAGGACGGCGCTGGCGCCGCACGAACGCTGCGGCGCGCCACGACCTCCGCGAGCAGGCGGCTGGCCTCCGCGCGCCCGCCTCTCGGCAGCTCGGGAGCCCCGCATTTCGCGGTCCCCCGCACTTCCGCCAGCGGGGCCTCCTCCGCGCGCTCGCCTCGCAGCGCTGCGGGAGCTCCGCGTGTCGCAGTCTCCTGCGCATCCGCCGTCTGGGCCTCCTTCGTGCGCCCGCCACACGGCGCTGCGGGAGATCCGCGCGTCGCGGTCCTCTGCGCGTCCGCCAGCGGGGCCTCCGCAGAGCCCTGGGCCGCGGCCGCCTCATCGGTGCCTTCCGCGGAGCTGTCGTCGACCGAACTGCGCTCGTCGTGCACCAGCGTGCCCGTGGCCCATGGCCTGCCCGTCTTGGGGTCCAGACCACGCAGCGACCTGTCCCTCCTGGCCACCAGGTTGCTGACGTAGGTGCGCTGGTGGTGCCCCTTGTCGGTGGGCGGCCCGCAGCGCGCCTTCTGCAGCCCCCTCGCCGCTCGGGCCTGCATCCGCGCGACGCAGACCTCGCCAAAGATGGCGGGCCCCGCGCGCAGCAGCCGATGCCCGAGGTGCAGCGCCACGCCACGGCCGCCGCCCTCGTGCAACCAAGGGTTCGGCCTCTGCGCCAGCTTGCAGGGCCGACGACCTGACGCACTACTGCGCCGCAGCGCCTGCCGCACTACGGGATGGGCGCCCGCGCTCGGTGCGCAACATCCCGCGCATGCCCTGCGCGCGCACTCGGGGGTGCTCCACCACGTCAGCTTCGGCACGGGCGGCGGCGGCGCCGCGGGCGCGTAGCGCGCCTCGGGGGGGCCCAGTCACCGATGGCCAGGCAGCGCTGCCTAGCCCATTCGATGTAGTCCGCCACCTGCTCGAAGTATTGCACCTCGACGGCGTAGAACTCCGTGTGCACCTGGGGCACCGCGCGTTGCAATGCCCCCTGCTTGGCGAACCGGTCCGCCCGCAGGTTGCCCGCGTACAGCACTGGGTGAAGCCCCGCCACCAGGTGCCCGTCGACGTCCTGGTGCGCGGGGGCCCAGGACACCTCGGGGCGGCATGGCTGCTGCCGCAGGTGCCTCCACACCGCGGCGCGCACCGCCTTGGCTCGCTCCAGCTCTGGCTCCCAGCTGCTAGCCTCCTGGGCCAGCGCCAGCAGGTCGGTGGCCACGAATCGCGCCTGCTGCCCCAGGAGCTTGGTGACCTGCAGGAGCGCGTGTCGCTCGGCGCGACCCGCCGTCTGCAGGCGGCCAGGAAGGGCCCCGAATGCCGCGCGAACGGGCGCCCCGTTGCAGCCGTGCTGGACCAGCGACCACCCGCAGCGCCTCAGCTTGGGCATGCTGCTCGCAAAGCCCGAGCCATCGGTGAACGCAATGTTCCCGCGCTGCTCGTCGCTCGTGCCGCTCCAGTCGCCCCAAAGCCCGACCTCCGCCTCGTCGGCCGCAGGCGGCACGCGCGGCGGCATCGCGGGGGGCCCGACCTCGTGCGCGAACCCGCCGAAGTCAGCGACCCCCACGCCGCCTGCCTGCAGGCCCTTGTCACGCATGGTTGCCCCTATCTGTCGCAGTCGATCATGGAGGGCGTCCTGCTGTACCGACGACCTATTCGCAACATAACTTGCAGCGGCACACTTGCTGCCGACGCACAGCCTCAGGACCTGCATCCAGATCGGCCCCGTTGGCTGCGCGCCGTCGAAGCGGCCCAGGATCTGCCGCCCTTGCCAGCGGCTGACCCCCTCGACGAGGTAAGCCTTGAAGTCCGACGGCGAGGTGGCGAGCAGGTTGATGCGCTGCTCCTCGTCAGTGGCCAGCACCAGGCTGGACCGCATATACCATCCGATCCTCCAGAGCGCGAGCGTCGTCGAGGCGATCGGGCCGCGCGCCAGCCCCCGCGTCGGCTTCTCGACCAGCCGCTGCGCGATGGAGGCCCACGCTCGCTGAAGCCTGCCCAACGATGTCCTCTGCTCCCAGGCCCAGCTGGAGTTCCTGACCACGAGCGCCACCGTCGCCTCGTAGACTGGATCTGCGCTGCGTGGCCAGGTAGATCGGCGCGCCCGACGGACCTGGCCGCGCACCCGCCAACAGGCTGGCCTCAGCCCGCAGCCGCTGCAACTCGTCGTCGGAGATGCCCACGACGCCCGCGCCGTGGCCGGCGCTAGGGAGCAGCCCCGTGCGCCGCAGCACGGTGACCTTGCGGCCAGCAGCACCGCGCTTCAGCGCCGCCAGGCGCCCTCGCCGCCGCGCCAGAGCCTTCAGCAGCAGCTTGGTCAGCCGTCGCTGGATCCTGCCTCCTCCAAGGTCATGCCTTAGATTGCGAGCCCAGTGGAGCAGCTGCAGGCCGCGGTATCCCGCATGCTTCCTGCTCTCTGCGGCTAGGCCCATGGACGAGGTCACGCAGCCAGACTTGGCGGGCTGCACGATGATGCCCAGTTGCTTGGCCTCCTCGCGGAAGCGCGTGACCTCGGCCCGCAAGACGCTGACGTTGCTACCCGCGGTCGTGACCCACTGAAGAGTGACGTCGTCTACGAGGGCCCTGGGAGTTGCTACCCGCTCCAGCACGCGGTGCATCAGCACCTACACGAGCGCGCACGCGTGAGCGCATCCAGTCAGCACCCCCTGGTAAGACACAACCTCGTAGGACACTGAGCCGAACGCTTGCAGCCGCCCGGGCTGCCTGCACAGCTCCACCAAGAGCCAGACCAGCGGCAGCGGCATCTTGAGCAGCCGCGCCTCCTGGATGAGGGCCTCGGGGGCCACCGCCTCAAAGAACTCCCAGGCGTCCAGGAGCACGGTGTCCACCTGCTTCTCCAACGCGACCGCCACCTCGGTCTCGAGGTTCAGGTCGAACGCTGCATCAGACGACGACCTGCCCGCGCCGAGCCCCCAGGTGCCCACGCTGGGGTGCTGAGTGAGCCAGCCCTTGGAGATGTCCGCCCACGCCCGCGACCACCAGCGCACCATAGAATTCATGAGCGCGATGAGGCGGCACCCTCCAGAGGGCTTGGGCAGCCGACACATGGCGCGCCACAAGCGGCCCATCAGGCCATGCGCCCAACTTCTCCATGCGCATGAAGAGCTGCGCACGAACATACATGCCGTCCTCGGACAGGAAAGACAGGGCACGCATGCCACTCTTTACAGGTCCCATCGCCGTGCTCGCGGGGAATGAGAGCGCAGCCCTCTTCATCTTGTCGACGGTGAGTTCGGGCAGCGCTTCCCACTCCTCAATGTCCGCAGGCCTGCGCGCCTGCGGCAGACCATGGCACCGCCGCACCTTTGCCCGCGGCTGCATCTCCCGATCGCCCAGGTGCGGGCTCGCGCCCTGCTGCTGGCCATGCCAGACACCTGCAAGTCCCTGACCTTGGAGCACCGATGGGCGCGGCCAGCGCCGTGGGAGAAGGACTCGTTGGCCCACTTGGCCCACTCCTTTTGCTGCGCCACAATGACCGCTTCATACTGACCGTTTGCGTACTCCACGACCCTCGACGCCTGGCCCGCTAAGTCGGCCTGCGCGAACATCAGCATCCGCTGGCCGAAGAAGTCCTACACCCAGTGCGGCAGCAGCGCCAGCGTGCCGCGGCTGGCGATGATCTTGTCGAGGTACGCCGCCGCCTACAGCAGGAACCCCGCCAGCTGGCAGAGGAGGCTGGCGCCGTGGAGTTGGCGGACCGCTTTGGCGACGCACGCCCCGACCCCCATCGGGTGCCGAGCCCACCTCGACGCCACGCGGCGCGGCGCGGCCTGCGACCAAGCGCGGTCCTGCGTCGAGGGGGGTCGCTATTTGACAGCGACGAGAGTCGTCTCCAAAGCGCCAGACCTGCCGACGTACTTGGTCCTGCCGTGCCCGACGGCGTCGTAGCGGCCCAGAAATTCTTGCTCGGCCGCAGCCACAACAGCGCCCAATGCCTCTGGGAGGTGCTCTCGGCTGACGGCTGCGCGCGCCAGTCCTCGGCGCCGCGGCTGCAGCACGCGGGCGGTGCAGGGCCGGTTGGCCGCGGGCCCCTCACCGCCCGTGCCTGCGACGGAAGGTCTTGCGCGTGCATCTCCATTGCGACGGGCAGGTGCGGCTTCGTCGCGCCGTACTCGTCGACTTGCGGCCTGCCAAGCCTCGGAGCGAGGTTGGCTGCGAAGCGGAAGTAGTCCGGCGTCGACCAGGCCCCGGCACGCGGCCTGCAGGTGGCATCCTCTGCCGCCGCCCACAGCCCGCAGACCCCGTGGAGCTGCTGCGCAGGAATTTCCGCGGGCTCCACGTTGAATTCGCCGCCCACGACCCAGTCGATCCCAGCCGCGCTGAGTTTGGCCAGGTACTTCATGATAACGGCCGCCGCGTGCTGGTTGTCCGCGTTCCACCCCGCGCTGTCGTGGAAGTACGGAGAGATGGCGACGAACCCGCCCGCCACTCCCCAGTGCGCATGGGCGGCCACCAACCGCGCTGCCAGAAGCACGGGGCTCACCAGGAAAGGCGGGCCGGTGATTGTGATGTGCGAGCGCGCCAGCACCGCCACCCCGCCAGCGGCGCCTGCCTCGCCGCGGGGCCCCTGGGCGGCTGGCGCCCAGAGCCCCGCGTACTCGTGGTCCAGCGTGGCCTGCTGCAAGGCAGCCAGCCTGTCGTAACCCCTGGCGTGGTGCTCCTGGACCAGGATGACCACGGCCTCTGCCCGCTCGCAGATGCCCTCGACGCACGGCGCCAGGGCCCCCCCGCCGCCGCGTTCGCCGCGAAGATGCTGCCCTTCGCCATGGCGCCAGACCACGTGCTGAGGAACAGCAGGATCCTAGGAAGGCTGGAAGCCCCCGCTGGCCAGCGCAGCGCAGCGGGCGCGCGCGGCTGACTCCTCGCCGCCTTCGAGCTCCAGGCCATGCTTCCGCAGCCGCTGCTGGAGCTGCTCCACCGACTCCTCCTCAGGCTGCCAGCGCGGCACGACGGCTGAGCCGCTGCCGCTTCAGGCGCTGCTGCCTCGGGCGCTGGTTGGGACTGCGGTGCTGGCGAGGTCCTGGCTGGCGCTGGACTGCTCCACAAATCGAGCCGCGCGTGCAGGGCCTCGACCCCGCCTGCTGCCGCCGTCGGTGGGAGCGGCGCGGCGCGAGGCTGCCCCCCGCGGGCGGCTGCGACGGGCCCAGGCCCGACGCACCGCCGCTTGGGCGGCCTCGCGCCACGCCTGCGCGCAGCAGACAGGGCGGAGGGTGGGGGAAAGAACGCGCGCCAGGGAGGCACCCGCCGCGCGCGCGCGCGGGGCGCGCGCGCGGCGCCTCCTCCAAATGCAAATCGCCTGCGAAGCGCACGCGCCGCGGGGGCAGCGACCCCCCCCCGCGGCGACGCAACCCCGGCGCTAGCAAATCACCTGCGAAGCGCACGCGCCGCGGGGCAGCGACCCCCCCCCCCGCGACGCGCAACCCTGGCGCGCGACGGCGCGATGGCCCGCGCCTGCGCAGCGAGGCCGCGGTCGCGTCGCACTGCCGCGCGCGCGACCTACGCGCAACCGTGGCCGATTTGTGCCCGCCCACAACGGTGAACGTCCGCGTCTGCGAGCGGACTTGCCGCCGTGGGCCTACCACAAATCGAGCCGCGCGTGCAGGGCCTCGACCCCGCCTGCTGCCGCCGTCGGTGGGAGCGGCGCGGCGCGAGGCTGCCCCCCGCGGGCGGCTGCGACGGGCCCAGGCCCGACGCACCGCCGCTTGGGCGGCCTCGCGCCACGCCTGCGTGCAGACCCAATGCCACACGGCACGCAGGCGACACGGGCCGGCAACGCGCGCCCACCCGCTGCCGAACGCGCGGGGGCAGAGCACGGGCGCCGTCGCGCGCGCCCGCCCACGCACAGAAGCGAAACGTGGCGGCGCTGGCCGCCGGCGCCTAGCAGGCACCCTCGTCCGAATCCGACTCCAGCATGTGCGCCTGGCGCGAGCAGCGCGCCGCGGCGCGGGCGGAGGGCGCGTGGCCCCGCCTCCACGACCGCGTCCCTTTCCAGATCGTCACGGTCGAGATACGCCATGAAAGCGCAGGACCGCCACTCCCCGGCCGCGAGAATCTCGGCCAGCGTCGCGCCAGCCTCCTGCAGGTCCTTGGCGTGGCCCCTGCGGAGGTCATGCAACCGAAACAGGCTCGCCCCCTGGACACCGAGGGCAGCGAGCATCTCGCGCAGGGTCCGCAGCGCAGCAGCCGCCGAGATGCCTCCGAAGAGCCCGCGGCCCAGCCCGCAACGCGCCACCCAGGGGCCCAGGGTGTGCACGGGGCACGTGGCGCGGCACGATGAGCACCAGCACTTCCGCGACAGGCGACTGCCCTGCGGCCGGTTCTTCCGCCGCCGCAGCAGCAGCGTGAGCTCCGATTTGCCCAGCACTAGCGCCGCCTGAAAGGGCGGCGCGTCGCCGGCGTCGGCCACGCGCACGGCCGGCAACGCCTCGCTGGGAACACGCAACAAGAACGTGTAGGCGAAAAGGAAAAACATCGACGCGCGGAGCCACTCGGGGCGGCGCGCGCCCAACTCGACCAGCGCGGCGACAGCGCTCTTACGGATGAACAAGCGCGGGCGCGGAGTCCAATCGGCCCGCGCCCGGACGTCGGCGCGCGCGCGCCTGACCTCGGGGCGGTCGAACACGGCGACTCAGACCCCAGTCAGGAGGCAGCCGATCTTAACGTAGCTGCAGTAATTTGCGTACGTCTCCCCGCAGCGAAAGAGAGCGCTCCAGGCGACCAGGTCCGCGCAGGCTGGCGGGAGCTGCATGCACGGGTATTTCAACATTATGATGCAGTAGGCCCCCCAGCATTTGAGGCCGCTTCTCACGCTTGGGAGCGACCGTGCGCATGGTTGCAGCATAGCGCGAACGCGTTCCTCCTCCCGCCAGCGGGCCGCGTCCGCCGGGCTGCGGAGGCGAGCAGCGGCCTCGGCGAGCGCCGCCCGGGGCCCGCGCGTTATTGGCAGCGCGACCGGCGCGCCCAGCTGGTCGAGGACGCTCGGGGTGGGCGCCTCGCGAGCCACGGCGCGCGGGCATGCGCAAGCGCGCGGGGCCGATGACGCGCGCCTGTGGCGGCCCAGGGGTGACCCCGGGGCGCTCGGCGCCGCGCGTCTCGCCGGCGACCGGCTGCGGGCGGGCGCGCGCCCTCCAACTGCCGAGCCCACGGCGACGGGCGCGCCTGCGAGGCGCACGCGCGGCGGGGGGGGGGCCGCGCGCGCCAAAAACCTTCGCGCAGCCGAGCCTCGGCGCGCAGCAATCTTCGCGGCTCTGAATAATTCGTGCAGGACTTCGACATTGGCCTGCGCGGTGACCGGCCAACCTTCCAGGTCTGCGGCGTCTGCACTGGCGAGCTCGCAGGCTCGTGCGAAGCCGTTCTCAGCCGGGAAATCAGCAGCCCAGGCGACGGCCGTCCTGGGCGCTGTCGGGCGCAAGGAACACAATTCAAGGAATAACGACATGATGCCGCGCGGCACGCCTGACAATGCGAGCGACGCGCCTGAGGCACTGGCCGCGTGCACTCCGCTTGCGACAAAACGCGGGACCCTAGGATGACAAGCGCGGCGGCGCGCCGAACGCTTTGCCGCGCCCAAACTTAAGCATCGCGACGCCCCGACGCACAAGATGGCACCCGGGCGCGACATGGCGCGCGGTTTAGCCGAAGAGGCGGGCCACAGAGAGAGCGCCCCAGGCATCCGCGTGCCAGAAGTCTTCGTCGAGCCACGGGCGCGTGCGCACCGCGCCGATGCGTAGCAGGAGTTCGTCGTCCCCCTTGCGACGCGCTGCGCCCGCGGCCAGCCCGCAGCACCGCGCGGTGCGCACGGGCGCGCCGAGAAGGCAGATCGGCCAGAT